TTTACCCCCAAACTCCTGGATTAAAAACCTGGAACCATCCACGGTTTTGCATCTGCAGTCCCTCTGTCTGGAATGATCCCTTCCAGAGCTCAGAATGGCTGGCCCCTCCCCATCGCTAGGTCTCAGCTCATCTCCCTCTGCCTCGGAGAGCGCTTACTCAGTAGAAAGTGGCTCTCAACCCCTCACCCTGTCTTCAGTTTTCCTCCCTCCTATTGCTAAGGGAGATGAGCCTATTTCATTTATTTGGTTGGTTGGCATCTGCTTCCTTCGCCCAAAAGGAATCTCAGGGAGAGAAAGGACCTTGTCTGTCTTCTGCCTAAGTAGGTGCTCGATGCCTATTTGTAGAGTGAGACAAAATTCCAATCATGAAAGAATACTTGTAATGTGAATATTTGCTGCTACTAAAAAAACAAAAACAAAAAACGGTCATCTGATGAAGTCCTGGGATGTGACCAAGGGGATCCAGGGTGGAGGGTGTCCAACGGAAATGAGCACCCAAAAAGGAACAAAGTGTTGGAACAGAAGACTGGTGGGAGAAGGGGGACAGAGTGGCAGACAGGGACGATACTTGGCAAAGATAACCTTTAAGCTATTCACAAATTTGCCTGCGTCGCATACTAACCAGAGCAGCTCCCTTGCTGCTGTTCCATTTAGAAAAACAAAGTGATCGTCTTGGAGAGCCTACACTGTGATTCAGATCTCATTCTCATTTCGGGGGCTGCTTGAGGCCCCCCGGCAGTCGGTGGGGCGTTTTCACACAGCTGTGGAACATTCTACGGCTGGGGAAGCGTAAGCTGCAGGAGGATGGTTTTTTGTCACACCCCCGACTTGTCCTCTCGGTAGCCTCCAGTCTCCAGGCCTCACTGAGCTAAGAATCTGCTGAACGCGGGGAAGTGGGAATCCGGAGCCTCTGGCTCACCAGCCAGCCGGCTCCTTCACCTTTCAAATGAAGCACCATGCGGTAGGAAGGTAGGGATTTAGGGCTGACGGGTCGGCTTAACGTCGGTGGGGGTTCACTCTAGTGGTTACCCCGCTGCTCAAGTGTTCAGTGATCAAACTTAATTCCCCCAGATCGACTCTCCGCTCCCCATCATTCCCAAATCGTTGCCACCCCGGGCGGTATATTCCCCTGGTGCTGGCTGCGGAGCCTGAGCAGCAACTCGGAGGAGCGAGGGGCGGGACGTGGGCCTTCAGCAGTGGCTCTCGATCGCTGGCACTGTTTTTCTCACCCAAGTCCTGACCTACTTTCAGCTGACCCTCGCTACTAGCTGTAGACGGGCAGTGTGACAGCACTTCCACGGAGAAAGGTTATAAGCCATAGGAGAAAACAAGATCCTCTACCTAAGTGACGTGTCTGAATCCTGGGCTTTGATGGCTAGTGGGACAAGGGGTTCATTCCCGCTGGAGCTGGCTCATCACTTTCTAGTGATCTATTGATAGTTTTCTCTAACCCCTGTGATATTTCAGGATCCAGCTGCCCTGAGATTTTTGTTAAAAGGGCAGGTTATAAAATGTACTCTTTAAGTAATCTTTCCTGGTTTTGTTTAACAAATCTCCTGTGTTTTACACATCTCCCCATGTCTTCGCCATTGTCTGAACCTACTTGATCGTACCATGAGCTATAATTATTTTGTCTATTATATCTCCCCTCCCCCCGAAATAAACACTCCTGAGGGCAGAAACCAAACCTGCCATACCCAGTGGTTTTTCCCCAGCAGCCAAGCTCTCAGTAAGTTTTATTGAAATGAGTGGAACATAGAAAATGTCTCCCACAACCATTTCTGTGTACATGTAGCAAAAAAGTAGAACCTCACTGCCTGCTGGCATCTTAACAAACCTGTTATTCACATCTCTGTATCCTAGAGATAAGAACCCCTTAACACAGACTCATAGTGCAGGAAATTGTTAAATCAGAAACAAATCCCAGCTCCCGGGCAATGCAGCCAGGCGCCCTATGCAGAAATGTCTCCAAACCTTAAATGTTATAACAGCAATGCCTTGCTTTTGGACGGCGCCGACACTGTCGCAACTGTTTTCTCATCAGATCGTCATAATGGCACCGGAGGGAGGAAGGACAGATATTACTGACTTCATTTTGAAGAAGATGCATTGAATCACCACCTAGAGAAGTGACTTGCTCCAGTGCCATAGCAAGCATCTGAGCAGAAAGCTGGCAGCCTAGGTTTCTAGACGACTAGTTCATTCTTTCCCGACTAAACGGCGCTATGACATCTGCCTTCCTCATGTACTTTTCATACATTGATGTGCATAAAAATTGCCTGAGGATCTTGTTAATTCACAAATACTGATCCGGTATGTCTGAGGCGGTCCCTGAAGTCCTGTATTTCTAACAAACTCCTAGGCGATGCTGATGCCACTGGTCTGAAGACCAGTTTGAGTGGTTAGGTGCTAGCGGGCAGTGACCATGCTAGCCTACCTTTATATCTCCACTGCTTGGCACATAGTAGGAGCTCAATAAATATTTGCTGACTTAATGAAATAAGTCAGCCATGCATTTGACCCACTTTTGGTATCGCTAGTGCCGAATAAGTAGTAAAACACCCAGGAAATAAGCAGTGAATTAATGAAATTAATCAAGGAGTCAATGGAACAAGGAAAGTGCTACTAGAATTCCATGTGATCATACTCAATGGGAAAACAAAGGACTTCCAGAGCAGGAGTGTCCTTGGGACATACCCCAGTGTTCACCCTGTGCTAGCTATTGAGTCCACAGTAACACATTTTGCTCTTGTGTTTGCATCATCAGAATATATTCTTGACCCCCTAAGTAATATGACGACTTTTTTCCCCAAGTACTTTTTGTGGTTTGAAGACACAATCTCCCTCAGACTTCCTGGCAAGGCTCAATGAAGTAAACCAGTTTCAGCAGCCCCATTTTTGCTCTGGGAAAAGAAATCTGAGTTTTTCCTGTCTCTCCAGCAGAGCTGAAATTAGAGGCCAGGCCTTCTGCCACCCAGCCCAGATATTGACACTCGGCTGAGTCTCAAGGGGTCTTTCATATACAGCAACAACTTATCTGCACAGTGCTCTTGTGTGGTGTATGGGGGGTTGTGCTTCAAATGAAATATTTAACTGTTCTCAACTGAGTTGTGAAATAAAGGGCTTTATTAAGAGTACGGCATGAATAAAACAGAGCTTAATTAAAATTCCCTGAACAGATAAGAGAGAGCAATGCAACCCACATTAAACCATTTCCTAGGAATCCCATCTCAAGGTCTAAGGCGCGAGACACTCTGGCACTTTTAATCTGTCCCAGGAAGGCATGAAAGGGCTTGCCGTGTATAAATCAACCCATGAATGATGTTATCTTGACAAACTCCTAGCAGCAGCAATTACGTTTTTCAGGAAGTGGGGGTGGGGGTGCAGGAACAAGAATAGAGAGGAATGGAATGCCTTCCCCCCCCTTTACAGAGGGACTCGGCCCACATGCTGCAGCTTGTAACTGCTCTCACCCACCTGGGGCCACTTGGCTCCCACCGGAGGCACAGACTAGCCCCATTGTCTAGGACATTTCCAGATGTTGAAAAAGAAAGACATTTTGGAATTAAGAATCAAAAGCTCTTTAATTTTAAAGAGAAAGAACAAAACGCCTCCACCAGGAGCAGAGCTGACGTGCTATGCAGATACCTCAGACCATGTCATCGGGACTCAGTTTCCCTCCACCCTTCAGCTCTGCATTCTTCCAGGCTGACTTCACTATCAGGAAGGTGTCCCCTCAGATGCCAACCTGGCCTCCAGCCCCTGAGACCTAGGGACCGACGTTGTAATAGCTCAGTGGGCCCAATGGAAAGCGAGTGCCTCTCTTACTAGTAGTTCACACGAAAGTCCAAGAATTCACTCTCATTTGGTTAACTTACCGATCACCATAGCCATAGAGGAGGGGGTCTATTTAGCCTGGCCTGGTTGAGCGCCTCCTCTTGGGCTGAAGAGTAGAGCCCCACTGAAGCACAATAACCACGAATTTAGGAGTAGTTCACCCAAGGAAACTTAGGGTGCTGTTCCTAAAATGAAGGAAGGGATGGTGAGCAGGCAAGCAAGACACATCTACTGCTAAGTCTGATGCTGTGTTTTGTCTGATTCTGATAGCTAGGCTTCTCCTTAGTTCCAAGAGCCAGTCCCTAATCTGAATACGATTTCTGATAACTGGCTCCACAGCTTTCTTTATATCTGGGTCCTATCTTGCTAACTTGCCAGAAAACTACGGTAATAAGAAGTAGCAGTGTTTATCAGATGCTTACTTTGTGCTGGGATTTGTGCTAAATGCATTCATTATGTATCTAATTTTATCATCACAAACACAGATGTGTTTTGTCATAACTCCATGTTTAGTTGAGACAACGGAAGCTCAGAGTTAAGCAGCTTTCCTAAGGCAACATGACAGTTATGGGCAAAGCAAGATATAAAGTTCTGTTTGATTTCAGAGTTTAAGCAATTAATCAGTATGCCGTGTTGCCTGGCTCCATTTTCGCGGACTTCTCTACAGTTAATGGGACTTCTCTACAATTAATGCTTGGCTGTTGATGGCAAATCACTTGATGTCCTAGGACCTTAGTATTCTCATCCGTAAAATGAGGAAGCTGATACCTGCCCCGATCTGCCTGTCTCAGCTCTCAGTGCAATTGTGAAGATTAAATGAGTCGATATGATTGTGATATTCCTTATATAAGCAAGTAAAATCAAAGGTACAGGTATAAGTTAGGATTTAGAAACACATACACCACACCAGCTCCCATAGTACTCACTTCTAGCTCTGCCAAGGACACACGCCCTTTTCAGCCAGCTCCCCGATGCTTTCAGACACTCTGGGACTCGGTGCCCTTTATCCCCATGAAAGGTGAAGCTCCATTGTATGTCCCATGCGCGACCTGGTGTCCATCCGCCTCCTGAAGATCCTTCACTCTCAGCTTCATGCAATCCTGCTGTGCAAATCTGATGGCCACCCCTGGGAGGACATGTAGCCGTTCTCTGGGTCACCATTCTCCCCCCGGTGCACCATGACACGTGGGAACCTATGTCATTACTCCTGCTTGTTTTACCTTTTTGGCACTTGCACCCACAGGACTGGAAAAAAAATTCCTCAGTTCTGTCATTCAGAATGAACAAGTGACAGGATGCATGGTGTTAGACTACAATTTCCGCCTCTGTGATGGCTTTTTTAAGCTAAAGTTGCTGAATTCCTATAAAATTCAGAGGAGCGGAAAGAATTTTGACAAGCCTCAGCACCTCTCTCTGGGGCCCACCCCAAACAGCACTAGCAGCCACATCTTCTGTCATCTTCTTAGGGAGGTGGTTGTTTTTTCAGTCAACATATTTTTATTCGAATAATCTTACAAGATATAAAGGGGGGGGAGGATTCAGGAGTTCTTTTTTAAGCAAACAAAATGCTTTGCACATCAGTTTAGTTTTTCAAAACAGAGAGGGCTTGGAAAAGTCAATAAAGAAAGGGTTATTTTATGCATCTTAATCACTGTAAATGCTGAGCTTGCTCTTCTGTGAAGCAGTTTCCTGACTGGTACCTGGGGCGCTAATTCCTCTTAGATCATCCCCTCAAAAGAACATCTTCTTTGAATTCTCAGTATTTGTCCTTAACAGCACTAAGGCTCTTTGTTAAAGACTTTTTACCTTGGTAGAAAAGTTGAAAGCATACAAGACTGTTGAGATAGCAATTTCTCAACTTAATAACAGCGTGTCTTCAGCAAACGTAAATACAGATGTGGTTTAAATGGGTTTTCAGCATGGTCAGATAAGGGGCCATTTATTTAACACAAGTGAACACAACTTCCCAGCCAAAATATACTCAGGGATCTTGGGTGTTTATAGAATCTGGTTGTTACTTCTCTTGTATTCTCCTCTTTGCAGTGGATGGATTTAAAAGGTGAATGGAACACTTCTTCTGGGCTTCAGTGATCAGGGATATAAAGGATGTCTGGGAAGTTTTCTCAGGAGCTAGAAGTTGAGGACTTTTTTCTTACTGTTCATCTCTATCTTTTCCTTAGTCAAGCTACTTAGCCTCCCTGAGCCTCAGTTTTCTCATTTACTAAGTAGAGAGCACTTTAACTTAACCTCGAGAGGATGGCTGCTATTATCGTGACTGCCTACTTTTTCTGGTAATGACACCTTCATATTCTTTGGAGAGTCATTCCTTCCCCATTCTAGTGAAATTTCCATGGGGCTGTCCCTACAACCCTTCCTTCAGGGTTAGGTGTATGGCACGGGGCTGGCCACGAGTGTTCAGCCCCTCGGCCAGTGGGATTGGTTCAGGCCTGGGCACCAACGCAGATCAAACCAGTAAAACTCAACCTCAGGAACCATCAGTCAAAACACATTTTTTTTTCTATAGAATATCCACTTTCGGAGAGTGGATGCTAGAGCCATGGAGAGGGCCTGCCGGGCAGCCAAACAGACGCAGGGGAAGGAAAGTTATCAGATAAAATGCTGACATGAAAAGCAGGATGCAGGTTTGTTAAATCCCCAAGTAGCCAAGAGCCCCTAGACGGGATTGTACACAATGATGCCCGGTGATGATTTGTTAGAGGAGCAGATAAGGGCATTTTAGATCTTGTGCTGCTCAACTCAAGATGCTGCTCAACGTCCTGGAAATTGGTTAATCTTCTTGTCGAGTGGAGCCGGCAGGACTCAAGGCCAGAGCTCCGTGCTCACTCACCCACCTCCAAGGAGTCTCAGCGACTTTGAGAATCCTCTATCGAAGGGTTCCTCAAAGAAGCTGTAGGAGTGAGGCAGGCCATATTCCCGATCTTCATTTTGGCTTTATTTTCTGTGAAGGAGGGATAATGGTGGTTTTGTAAACTTGGTTTAGGGGAGTTGGAGGATCTGATGAGACAGTGAGAAGAGGGCTCATTCTCTACCCATCAGCTCAGCTTGGGCACCAGGGCATTTCCCCGGAGCACTGTCCACTCCCTTGCTAACGCAGCACTAGAAATTCACTCTTAGGAGCCATTTCTGGAAAGAGTTTTCATACAAATAAAACTGGAAAAGTCTGAAATAACATGTTAGACCTACAGTGGCCAGTGTTACATATCACTCCAAACACCATTCTGCCTATTTTTGTTATCTAGGAGCATTTGATTTTAATTTACCCTTTTAAACATTGGCCCCCTCTCTAGCTTTCCCACCAAGCAGTCCTTATGCAGGCAAAACTCCCATTAACTTTAATAAAAGTTTTAAACATGAAGTATTGCTAGGAGGTGGCTGATATTTTATTCATACTGCTAATGATTATTTTAAATGTCTTAATTGTTCCACTGATGCCCCAAAGCTGGTTTAGGGAGAAATGTAGTTTTATGCATCAAAATAAAACATTATGCAAATAAAATCGATGCTGATAAATATTAAGCCAGTAACTCCCTTAGAACTTTTATCCCTGAAAAATCGGTGATCCTATACATCACTAATTCTATATTTCAGAGCAAGTTGGTTGACAACAGAATGGTAAAGGTGATGAGAATGAAGGAAAGATCATTTGAAATGACTTGGTTTTGAGGCACTTACTATAACTTATGAGACTTTTCCATAAAAGCAAAATAAAAGTAATTATCCCAACCCCTGAATTACTATCTTTGAATTATAGTTGATTTTGAGATGACTTATCTTATCCCATTGATTTTTCAGTGTTTGTTATTGCTGATTTTTAGCTGAGCAGATTTGGAGGAATTGTGCTTATGGTCCAAATATCCAATCTAAATTTGGTTCTCTGATAGCAATGGATGGATGACTCACCTCTCCTAGGAATGATGGAACTTGGATCGTTGTGTCAGTCACAGATAGTGGTTTGAATGTCTGGCCCCACATAATAAAGCTCTGCGCCAAGAGATAGTATCGTCTTCTGCCCTTAAATAACATTCCTCATTCCTAGCTGGTATGAGAAGTGCATCTTCAATAATTGATCAGTGGGACAGAAAATCTGTTGTTGACAAAGCATGTTTAAAATGATGTTATTCAATCATTCTCATCTCAGAGATGCTTTCAGCCTGCTCCTCGCATCCAGTGCACATTACACAACACAGGTTTATTCATGAAGCAACTGATTGCCATTATTTTTAAATTTACTTTATCTAAAAAGAGCAAAGCAAAGTTTCCTCTGAATGCTTCCTGGTCTATATTTTATATTTTTATATTAAATTAAATGCAGAGTCAATGTAACATCCTGCTTTGCTATAGGGCAAAATGGTTTCAAGCTCATTTTCACAAGGGCCATGTCCTGGCAAAAGTATGCTGTCAGTATAGATGCTTGTTTCACACTGTGGAAATGAACCAGGAAAGATTCACAGTACAAGAAACTCAACTGGTGGCACCTGAGAAAGTCTTAGGAGCCTCTGCTCACTCTGTTTCTGTCACCTAGTGATTTATCGAAGGAGGTGTTACATCCAAAATTATATCATGTGGACCAAGTGTCATTTCCTCAAAAGAAAATACTGATGACTAAGTGTTACACAGATAAAATGTTGTTTTTTCCCATTGGTAAAGCATATTCGAGTCATGCATGACTGGAGAGACCATCCCATTGGCATCATTGCAGAGGTGATAGGCAGGTCACAAGCCAACTGGCTTCTGAAAGAAAATGCCAAATCGCTCTCCCACGGTGCAGGCAAGATGGAATCACTCTGGAACCATGTGCATGGTTGAGTTCCACTTTTGGATGCATTTTTAAATTATAGTCAAAATATTCTGGAAATTCCAAGTGGAAAATTGAATGGCCTAAATAGAGGGGCTGGGGGCTAGTACAAACTGTGGGAATAAACACCAGATTGAGAGTTAGCCAACCCAAGTTCTGGGGCCTGCACTGAGGCCAACAAGCTCTAACCTTGTGCAACTCATTTGACTTCTGAATCCTTGTCTATAAAAGAAGGTTGGCCAAATGACTCCTCACGCCCCTTCTTACTCTCACATCCTGTGAAGCAATGATCAGAATCCACTTTATCTCTAGATCTTAGTAAAAGAA